ACCCACCCAAAGAACCATCCACCCCCTCTTAGGTGTTCTAAGATACCGGGCATCGTTGTGACTTTTACTGTAAACGCCCTAAGAAAAATTTTTATCACACACACACACACACACACACACACACACACACACACACACACACACACACACACACACACACACACACACACACACACACACACACACACACACACACACAAAGCGTACTGGGCGTGTGCGTGCAGCAGCAACAACAGCGCGACGAGCCAGTGACAGCAGCATGCTCGTGTGTTTTGTTGTCACGATGACGCTTCTTGGCAGTGAAATGTTGCGTTGTTGCGCGAGTTTGACATGATTTGACGGTTGTTGTTGTGTTGTGAAAAAGATGTGGGACGACAGGATCCCTTGCCTCTGCTCCCAATCCCTCCAGCCGTCGCTCCATGCTCACCCCTCTGTCATGTCACAGCATGACACCGTCACATGGTGTAATTGTTGTCGCTTACTCATGGCATATCACATAAGGCAAGTGCTCTCACAACACAGAGGTCACAACAATACCATCCATCCTAGCACACAGCAGACACCACGCTGCCCACCATCATCGCACAGCGACATGGGGGGGGGGGGGGAGTCACGAGGATGTTGATGGTGCAGCCGCGTCGGCGCGTCGCTCGCTGATGGCTTGAAGCGACTGCTTGACGGCCTGTGCGCTAGGGTCATCGCTCTCCCATTTCACGGAGGCCAATATCGCATCAATGTTCCGCAGCAAGTGCTCCGTCGTCTCTGTAGCCGCGGCAAATCACACAACACACACACGCAACACACACACACACACACACACACATGCACGATCAAGCCACGTGAGCTTGCAGGTGCCACACGGATGTGTATGTGTGTGTGTTGCGTGTGTGTACGTGTACATGTGCGCGCGCGCCCAAGCAGCTGTAGACAAGGTTGTCAGGCCAGAGTGCAGCAGTACAGGAGCGTACACTGCATGTTGCTTGAATAGTGACCGACCTGCGTTGAGGTTGGCAAGCTCTGGCGGTAGCGGGTGCTGCATGCTCTGCTGTCGAAACGCGTCGTCCACCTGTGTCAATTCAGCGCGAATCCTCTCGCTCGCAGCCTGTTGTTTGCATGCATCAATGCTCATGGTCAATGGATGCAAGCGACATACAATTGTGTGTGTGTGTGTGTGCGTGTGTGTGCACGCATGTGCATGATCTCCAGGGTGCTGCAAACACTCACCACGACGCGGCTGTGCTCAATTTGCAGGGCAGCAATGTAGTTTCTCACCCTTTGAACCTGCAGCCAATCACCCAACGACAACATGAGGGTTTCAACCGGACCAGCTCACACACACGCGCACACACACACATATACGTACACACACGCGCACACACACACACACACACATACGTACACACACGTACACACACGCATACACACGTACACGCACACACACACACGTCGTTTCTGTACTGCGTGTTGACGCCCTCCAGCTGTTGGATTTCGCCTTGAAGCTCACGCAACTGGCGCTCCCGGGCTGTTGCCGTGTGCAGTGGTGGGTGGATATGAAGTGTGACAAAACAACACAAGCAAGCGAGAATGCACGCACGCACGGCGGACACGTTGATCACTGACAACTGAGGAAAAACAGGGCATTCTGCGCGCCGCACCATCACACGTACTTCTGTGGAATTGCACAAAGTCGTCTGTGAAGACCTTCATGCGGGGATCGAGCTCGCCGTACTCCTGCAACATGTCGCGGTGCTTCTTGCCCTGCATGTGCTCGCGCTGAATATGCAACATGGCACCACGGGCCAAAAGGCAATGTCAATAAATCCATGCATGCACCATGTGGGTTGCTGGCCGCTGTCATCATGACACGCACACGCATACATACACACACAGAGTCACATACATACACGCATACATACACACACAGAGTCACATACATACACGCTTACACACACATACACACAGTCACACACATACACACGAACACACTAACACACTAACACACACACACAACGAGGCCGCACCTTGTTGTGAAGGGAGGAGAAGTACTGGTTGCACAGGCTGCAGAAGAGACTCTCTGGAGTGGTGCCATCATCATCACTGATCACAATCGCATCGTCGTCGTCGTCGGCGTAACCGTCGTCGTCATCAATGTCGTCCAGTTCCATCCCATCCTGAGCATGCATGCATTGTGTTGCATCAATGAGAATGGAAGGCAGATGTGTATGTTACATTGTGGATGTGCGCTTTGGATCCGAGGGGGGGGGGGAGAGTTGAGCAGGTGAGGGTGAGGGGTCGTGACTGTGATGTGATGTAAACACACTAAAAGCAGTACCGCGCAACAACAGCACGTGTGAAACGAAACATAACCTCAGCTGACAACTGTGACGGCACAACGCAACTTCCACCTCACACACACACACACATAAGGCGCGCACACATCATGCGCGCACACGAGCGTATTCACCTCTGCAAAGCTCGCGGCGAAACTGCTTGTGTCCTGTGCAACGCTGGAACGTTTTGCTTTCTTCTTTGGTCTGCCGCGTGCACGCTTGGGCCGCTTGCGTCGGACCGTAAGGTCCACGCCGGGGTTCTTTTCAAGAAACTCACGCTTCATCTCTGCAGCCAAGTCCTGGTAATGCTGCACACGGGCAACGGAGAGGGGGAGGAAGAAGAAGAGAGGATGAGGAGGAGGAGGAGGAGAAGCGGAGGAGGAGGAGAAGAAGAAAGAGGAGGAGAAGGGGGCACAACACACACATGCACACATGCACAAGCACATGCACGCACACACGCACACAGAGACGTAAGGACGAATGACACAGTTTGACGTGAATTTGTGAGCATGAGATAAACGCCCTGCGGCCGCAGACCCGTGCCCTGACACCCAATTCGATGCATGCATGCACGCACGTACCTTCTTTTCCTCGGTGCTGCATTGGCGCCAGAGCTGAGCAACACCTTTGGTGACGTCCGGCAGCGCCATGCTCGGGTTCTTCCGCAGTACCTCTTGTCGCTTCTCCGTCTGCAACGCGCGCGCCACACCAGGGAGCATGCACAAAGTGTCAGACGTACAGCAAGCACGAACACCGATTTTATGAAAGTCAAACACAGCATACAGACACACAGACACAGGCACACACACATACAAACATGCTGCACACGCACACACACACACATGCACGCGGCACATTTACACACAGGTACATGCACTGACACCACATACGCACCAGGAAGAGCACGTAGCCTGATCGAGGCGGCCTGAATCTGAAGCTTTTGTTTGCTTTCAGCTTGTCAGCGTTGGACTGCGTTGCTTCTTCAGCTCCTATCGATCGCCAATGCCGTCCACGCAAGGATGCACGGTGCACGCATGCCAACAGCGAGCCACATGTGATTCTGTGGATGGATGGCAAGTAATATGAGGCGTCAGGGGGGTTGACAACCAGAAAAAGCGCCATGCAACCATACCTGTCGAGGTGCTTTCAGCCATAACAGCTGTGGAGGTGGAAGAGAGGTCAGGGGCAGGGTCAGTGTTGGCGTCGCCCACGGCCGTGTTCTCCGTGGGAGCAGCTGGGGTTGGTATAGAGGTAGCTGTGGCAGTCGTGGGTGGTGCAGCCGGGGTGACAGCTGTAACTACTGTGGCTGCTGTGGCTGCTGTAACTACTGTGGCTGCTGTGGCTGCTGTGGCTGCTGTGGCTGCTGTGGCTGCTGTGGCTGCTGCCGAGGATGTATCGGGGGTGGCAGTTGTTGTGGTGGGCGCATTTGCGGCAAAATCTGTCTTCGTCGAGTCTGTCGATGGGTTGGGGCCCATGTGTGCGCTTGCAGTGACTGCCTGATCAGTGGGATGTGAGTGAACGGATTCGCTCGCCGCTGTTGTCCCCAACCCAGGCTGCTGCTGTTGTTGCCGTTGCTGCTGCTGTTGTTGTTGCTGAAGTGAAGGAGTGCTGGCCCGTACTTGTGCTGTTGGTGGAGCAGCCGGGTGTGCTGTTGGCGCGTTCGTGCTGCTATGGGTTGATGTTGTTGCTGCTTCGTTGGGACCCACACTTGCACCCACGCTCCGGTCTTTGTTGATGGGTGGCGGCAGTTCCTCCATGGCAGTATGCTCGGTTTGGCGTCTACGATAACGAGGACACAGAGACAAGTGCACTAACAAGACATGAGCGCGCGCAATGCGTTGTTAATGTGAGGCTGTGATTGCTGTGATGTAAAGCGTTGACAGCCCGACGAGACAAAGGAAGCCCAAGCACCACAGACACACTCACACACACACTGACTCACACACACACACATACGCACGCACAGACACTCACACACACACACACACACACACACACACACACACACTCACACACACACACACACACACACACTCACACACACTCACACACACACACACACACACTCACTCATACTCACTCACATGCACGCTTGCTTGCGCTCCAGCAGTCGCACGTCACGGTTGGGGAGGACAAGCGGAAGCGCGTTGGGCAAGTTTGCTGTTGGTGTTTCAAAGAAAGGCAAAATTGACTTTTGTGTGCAATTACGTGTATTTTCAGCAAACTTTCCTCTTCTCCCCTGCTTCTCACACCAACAAAGATGATGGCTTTGCGACTGGCTATGCGTGCACACACACACATTCTCTCTCTCTCTCTCTCACTAACTCACTCACTCACTCACTCACTCACTCACTCACTCACTCACATGTATACACTTGCCTGTAGTGCTCGAAGACCTGTGCAAAGAAGTACCAGTAGAGCCCTTGGTTTGGCGTGAGGTCACTGACTTGAACCCTAAGTTCCACACATGGCCAATCAGAAAAAACCATGTCAGTCGAACACAAACATGCGACCTCTTGTGGATTGCAAGTGCACGCAACAAACGCAAGTACAAACATACACATACACATACACATGCACATGCACATGCGCATGCGCATATACACACATGCACATACAAGTACGCACTCGTTAATATAAACAGCATGCAGATATGCGCTCGGATCTGCCCCAGCCGCCATTGAAATGGAGTGAAGCGCAGCAACAAAGATGGCAACGAGCGACGCCGCTGCCAAATGTGAGCGCCCGAATGTAGCCTGTGCCGCACTGAGCACGGCCTGCAAAACGGGGGAATGCATCGACAGCGTGGCAACAACAAAATGTTGAGCAAGCGAACACGGCTGTCGTGGTTAGCTGTACCGCACCGATACACGCAGACATCGAGCAAGAGGGAGGCACAGCCATGTTGTGGGACAAGCATCTGCACGCGTGTTGCTCACCATCAGAGGCAGATAGAAGATGCTCTGGTAGATGGCAGCTGCGCAGCACGCGCATGACGCAACCCAATCTACCCCCACATTTCCAAACACGCACGCACACACATACACGCACACACGCACACATACACACATGCACACACACATACACACACACGCGCACACACATGCACACACATGCACACACGTGCACACACACACATACACGCACATGCAGAGCAGCGATGGTGAGCTGCTGATGATGACAATGGGCTGGATTGCCACATTTCAAGATGTCCACACCACCTCCCTTGAAAAGCTGAAACACTGACTTGATCGCGCAGTGGCCAGCGTCGCCCACAAGCACAGTGGTGCAAGCCAGAGGGTGGTGGGCGGAGAAACAACAAACAGGTCCACGAGTACGATGAGCAGAGACACGAGTGCGGGCCATACTGCCGACACTCCTGCATAACTTCGTGCCCAGACGCTCTCGGGAATGCGCTCCTGTCGTTGTGGTGGTGTGTCTGCTGCCCACCAAGCATCAACTTGCTCCTATTCATTCATGTTAGAAACACAGAGAAGGAAGGTGAGCATCGCAACGCGTTTCAAAACCTTGAATGGATGCTCATAATTGTTGCAAAGGACCGCAATGCTCTGTGAACGTTGTCCGCCGCTCTCTGCTTACCTGGTAGTGCTGCGCTTCCGTCGCTGCAATGTACAATACAATGGGCACCAAGAGCCCGACCACCTGCACACGTGCATGTAAGCGTGTGGTGAACCTAACCCATGCAGTCGAGCGCATGCACATCCAGTAAATGCACATGCAGCGAGAGAACACAAACGAATACAACAAGAAGGGGAAGTACTGTTCTTCTCACCATGTGCGCCGGACCTAACAGCCCAAACGAATCCAACCACGCTGCGCCCTGCACAACCAATGGCGTCTTCCCACAAGCGCGTTCATAAACCAAGCCATGTGTGAGCAAGGTTCACGAAGCCAAAGAGAGCGAGGACATGACCCCGCCACCCAAAATCAAATACAAGCATACCCACCAACGAGCAGATGTCGCCGTCATACTCCAGACCGCCTCGCTGGTACAACGCAACGCACTCTGCCACTGGACAAACAAAACCAAAGGTGGTCGTTGAGATCACAACAGCAGATGAAGAATCTGCCTGTGTTATTTGGGGGGGGGGGCTATGCGTGTCTGTGACTGTGTGTTTGTCGTGTATGTTTGTTGTGTATGCGTGTTTGGCTGTGTGTTTGGCTGTGTGTGTGTCTTGTGTCTGCAAGGAACACTCTTCGTTTGTGTGTGCGCTGGTTGTCTCCGACAGAACCGTGCTGCCACTCACGTTGCGGTGGCACACCACTCGTCATCATCCTTGCTCGGCTGCTGGTCCTGCCTGACTCCGTTACTGACGATTTGCGAATGATTTAATGTGATTTTCCGTGTAGGCGCTTGTGCGCGAGCGCGGCGCGGTACTGCTCGTCCTGGTGTGGGAGCGAGTTGAGGGCGGTGAGGCGTGTGGGTGGAATGGAACCTTCCAAGGGAAACACAACGTAGCGGGCAGTCACGTACTCCGCTGTGTAGCGCAGCACATCGCCCAACACATCGTCGGGCATGGCCATGACCATGCGTCGAATCGCGTGCCGTCGATGGCGGTCAGCGTGTTTGTCGCTCTGTGGTGTTGTGTGGGGTGTCGTGCATGTGTGTTTGCGTGTGTGCGTGTGTTTTTGTGTGTGTATGTGTGTGTGTTTGCGTGTGTTTGCGTGTGTTTTGTGTGTGTTCGAGTGTGTGTTTGCGTGTGTGTGTGTGTTTTGTGTGTGTTCGAGTGTGTGTATGTGTGTGTGTTTGCGTGGTTGTGTGTGTGTGGTTGTGTGTGTGTTTGCGTGTGTGTGTGTGTTTTGTGTGTGTTCGAGTGTGTGTATGTGTGTGTTTTGTGTGTGTTCGAGTGTGTGTATGTGTGTGTGTGTTTGCGTGGTTGTGTGTATGTGAGAGAGAGAGAGAGAAGGTAAAAGGCGACACCAACCAATCAAACAAACCACACACGCACGCATGTACACATACGCACACTCACCTTGAACACGTTTTGCGCTTCTGCAGAATGCTCCCCAAAGTCGGCAAAGAGGAAACCGGCCGTGTGATGCACACTCAGCCGATACACAAACGCATCCTTCTCAAACTGCAGCCATACACACGCGCAAGAGCAGACACGCAAGTTCAGGGTGAGAAGAACCACAAACATCAAAACAGACACGGGCATGGTGAGACGTGCCTGTGTGTGTGTGTGTGTCCGCTGTGCGCTACACCACGCCTTCTGTGCGTTGCACCACGCACATGCGCCACATTTCCGCATACCTGGCGAAGGTGGAGGCTGGTGATGAAGAGGTCCAGGACTTGCCGATCAGTGTGCAGCGGTAGCTGTCGAGAGCAGGGCGAGGATGTGAGCCGCATGTGGAGGTGTGGAGGTGGAAGATAAGGCATGGGTACCGTACAGAACGTGGGGATGTACAACAAAAAGGAACACCACAATGCAAGCATTTGCACAGCACCGCGAAAGTCATCATTCAGCTCGACACACACACACGCACACACACACACACACACACACACACACACACACGCACACACCACAAAACAATATAAGCACACAACAACACAATGCAAGTACACCACATACATAAACACACACCAGGTAGGCGAGGGCATCTGCAGCCATTGTCGACTGCAACACTTCGCACATGTCCGGAAAACGGTCGTTGCCGAGGCAGTGGGAGGTGAGGGCAGCGGGGAAGCCGCGGGCAAACCCTTTGATGAGCGCAAGGCTCACCACCTCGCTGCCGTACGACGCCGTGACAAACTCCTCAAGCACATCCACATACACCTGCGTCAGCACAGACACCTCCGCACGGCTGCCGACAGCAAAGGCTGCATTCGCAGCAGCAGAACAGCCTCGGATATCAGCAAGCGCTTCGGTCATCGCCTGCATGGAGCAGAGAGGGAAATGGTTGAGGTGCGGTTGGGGGGGGGGGGGGTTTAGGGGCATATGTGGACACTCCAGCACCAACATGTCAGCATGAATCACCTCAAACGACACAAACGAGCACCAATGCAGGCAAAGCCCGGCTGCTGAGGGCTGTGTGTCACCTTTGCAATGTCCTTGAAGAGATACAGCTGTCCCGGGCAGCACAGGACACGGAGCAGCGACGATAGGCGACGGCTGGCAGACACACGCGTCGTCATGTACTCCGGCTGCGGATATTTGTTGGGGGGGGGGTGGTGGCGGGTTGAGAGCTGGCGGTGAGTGAACAAGAAAGTACGCAGGCACAGGTGCAAATACAGGGGAAAACACGCACACACGCACTAATACAAACACAAACACGCACCCCCAATCACACGCACAAGCACACAGTCACTCACGCACGCACCACGGCTTGCGTTAGGGTGTGGATGAAAGTGAGGGAGAGGAGCATGTCGTTTCTGATTGGCGCAAGTGCGCCGTCATCGGCGGTGTCCATGTCTGGAACCTGGCGAAGGACCTCCACGGAGGACAGCAGCGGCCAGTACATCCAGTCGCTTCGAACAGGAAGGCTGTCAAGACAAATACCGACCATGACAGAAGTAGCAAAAGGTCAATACACAACCCTGCAACATGTACTCAACTGCAGGAAAAACACGCGCGATCGACCCCGCAATATCACACACACACATCAATGCACGCACACACACACGTGTACACCACATCAATGCACACACACACGTGTACACACACACACACACACGTGTACACACACACACACACGTGTACACACACACGCACGGACACACACACATACACACACGGACAGCACGTCCAAGTGTCATGGTCGCAACAACAGAAACATAAACACACACACACACGCACACACACACATACACCACTGCACACAACTGTGGGCGTACACAGTGGCGTCGTGGGACATGCGTGGTGCCACCATGCACGTGCGTGTGTCGGCTGCCAGCCCGAGAGCCGACGACGACCATTGCAGGCGGGACGGGTGGAGCACGGATGCCTCGAGCGCAGCTGTGATGCTGCTGATCACAGGGCCGGGGGCGCTGCACACGGGAACAACGGCGCCAAGCAGGAAGCGGCGTACCTGCTGCTCCTGCCCGGGCGTGAACTGGGTGAGGAGGGCAAGCAGGTGGTGCGGCTGGCACTGCACGGTGCCCAGCCAGTCGTTCTGGGTGCTTGCATGCAGACACAGCTCCACGGCGTCCGTGAAGTGGCGGTGGATGAGGTGCAGCTGCAATGCCTTTGGTCGCAGCGTTGTGCCCACAGCCAGCAGTCGAGGCAGCGACAGAAGAAACAACGGACACTCCGCACACGCCGCCCTACAGGGTGGCCATGGTGGTGGTGGTGGTGGTGGTGGTGGTGGTGGTGGTGGTGGTGGTGGTGTTGTTGTTGTTGTTGTTGTTGTTGTTGTTGTTGTTGTTGTTGTTGTTGTTGTTGTTGTTGTTGTTGTTGTTGTTGTTGTTGTTGTTGTTGTTGGTCGGAGCAGAGAGTGGTTGAGTTGCATGTCAGACGTGGTGTGGTGGTGGTGGTCAAATAAGGCGCAAATCACGCACCAAACAGAATTGTGGTTGCACAAAACAAGAAGAGAATCAACACACACACACACATGCACAGGCACCCAGTGTCACTTAACCATGCCTGTATGTGTGTGTGTGTGTATACCTGTTGATACTGGTGAGCGCAGCGACGAGGGCGGCAGCTGCACGCAGGAGGGAGCATGACGCGATCAGGCGGCGAGCATGATGAAACGCCGCAGGCGTGAGGGCGATGGGATGGAAGGTCATGGAGTGCGCACTCGCTTCGGAGAGGTCCACGCTTGCGCAAATGGCATCGACGGCGCGCGGAAGCAGCGGAGAGGACAGCAGCGGGTGCAGGACAGAGGTAGACACGCTGTCCAGTGACGACTGCGCGCCGGACGCCAGCGACGTGGCGCCATAGTCCAGATAGGACGTCAGCACGCCACAGCACGCCGCCAACAACAGCAACTGGCCGTCTTCGTCGTTGTCATCCACATGCTCTGATGCGGTGCTGCTCGTCCCGCACTTCACGCTGTCATCGCCACTCTCATGCACGTTGATGCCACCACCACTGCCACCCTCTCCACCATCATCGTTGCCTTTGCTATCACTGCCTTCGCGACCACCACCACCGGCAGGCGCGTGCAGGAGGGAGGATGCGATGGTCATTGCAGACTCAACAAAGGGGATAACAGCTGACCAGTGCACGGCGCTGTGGACGTCGCGTGTGGTGTCTGCTGTGCTGGCGATGCAAGTGGCAGCGGCAACAGATTGCAGGATCGCAACACAGTCGTCATATGCCTGCAGCGAAAGGAGAAGGGGGTCGAGTGGTGAGGAGGGTCGTACGAACGACGTGTGGTTGAAGGAAGTGACACAGCACGCTTGTGTGCGTGCGTGCGTGCGTGCATGTGTGTGTGTGTGTGTGTGTGTGTGTGTGTGTGTGTGTGTGTGTGTGTGTGTGTGTGTGTGTGTGTGTGTGTGTGTGGGTGGGTGGGTGGTGTTACTGCTGACCTTCTCAGCAAAGCACTGGCTCAGGAGCTGCAGGAGTGCGGTGAAGTGGTCGGTGAGAATGTGTGCGCCTAGCCCGTACCTGTCGTCCACACGCAAAACCAACAGGCAGGCAGTATATGAGGAAACAGGTACGTCATGGGCATGCAGGCACGCTCCAAGTGACACGCAGGGGGGCGCGTGTGTGTTGTGTTGTCTGGTTGTCGGTTTCTGTGTTTGTCTGTCCGTCTGTGTCTGCCTGTCTCGCTGTGTGACTGTGTGTATGCAAAGGTGTAGTCTCCCTCTGCACCTCATGTAGACGGCCAGGGTGCGCAGGAGCTCGCGTCGCGAGTGGTGGTTTGAGATGTGGCCCAGGACAGCCGATGCAACCTGCTCGTCAAGCAGCGTCGGCTGCAGCTGCCTTGCTGTTGCTCTGCTCCCCTCACACAACACGCGAAGCAGCACAATCGCCTGCACCAGTGCACATGTGTGTGTATTTGTGTGTGTGTGTGTGTGTGTGTGTGTATTTGTGTGTATGTGTTCATGTGTTTCATGTGTTTCGTGTGTTACGTGTGTGTGTGGCAAGGTGAAGATACTGGTGCTCTCACATGTCGATACATTGAGTATGAGCACCACTCGTTCCCACCACCACCATCATAACCACCATCATTACGATGTGTCAGCAGCGTCTGCTGCACACCAACCTTGGCGTGGCACGCTGCTGCTGCCGCTGCTGCCTCCTGCGTCTCAAAGGCGGCTTGCTCGTGGCGGACGAACATGCGGATGACGGCAGCGACGAGACGTGGTGTCTCCACCACGTGCAGGGCACTGACCAGCGGTGGTTGAAGTGGGGGTGGGGGGTTGATGGTTGATGGTGGGTTGGTATTGATGGCGGTGGTTGTTGAAGGTGATTGAAGGGATTATGGTTATGAGGTCAAGGTCGTGGTGATAATGATGATGGTGATTGTTGTAGTTGTGGTGGTGGTGGTGGTGGTGGTGGTGGCGGTGGTGGCGGTGGTGGTTGTTGTTGATGTGAGACGACAATCAGGGGAAGCACACTGCCACAATCGTCTTCACACATACACACGTACACACACGTACACACACGTACACGTACACACGTACACATACACACATACACACATACACATACACACATACACACATACACACGCACGCGCGTGTGTGCATCCCAGCACCACCTCACCTGCGAGATGAGTGCCGCGCAATTCGAATGGCAATCGTCAATGCAGGATCAAACGCAGCGGGCACTTGCGCAACCTGTTGCATGCCGTGGACGCAGGGTAGAATGGACATGGCACAGTGGCGGTGAATGTCTGAGAAAGGGGGAAACGGGGCATCTGTCACACATGCGAACACACACACACACACACACACACACACATTCATTTAGTTGCATCCGCACACGAGCAAGCACACGCAAGCACACAGAGTGCCTCGCCTCGATGATGTATCTGAGGCGGAGCAAGACGTCCATATCCCGGAGTGCGCGGCAGAGATCCCGCCCCGCCCATCGGACGAGACGACGCTGCCCACGTGCACTCAAGCGCGCATCAACACCAGCACCGTCACTGCTGCTGCTACTGCGCGCTGCACCAACACCGTACTGCTCGTCGTCATCATCGTCGCCAATGTCTTCCTCGTCCGTTTCCGCTTCACCCAATGCACCGCCTGTCGCCTTCTTGCCATCACCACCTTCCACGCTATCACCATCACCATCATCACCCTCATCATCACCCTCATCACTGCTGCTATCGCCGAGTGGGCGGTGCGCGGGACGAAGGGGAACGCGCACATGTGCGAGTGGTGACGATGCGCTCACGTTCAGCAGCTGGTCGTGTGCACGCGCACTCAACAGCCGCGAAATGCCCTGAGCAGCGGGGGAAGAATGTCCAAGATCAAGGGAAGCGGGAGCATGTGAGTGCGCATGTGAGTGTGCATGTGTGTGCGTGTGTGAGGGTGTGTGTGTGTCTGTGTGTGTGTGTGTGTGTGTGTGTGTGTGTGTGTGTGTGTGTGTGTGTGTGTGTGTGTGTGTGTGTGTGTGTGTTTCTGACACACGTTATGCCATGGCAGTGCAATACTGCAACCACAACCACCACCCAGCGCATTCTCCACTATCCCAAAACACAAGCGCATTGCGCATTGTGCAGTTGCGCAACACCAACGAGCCATGCACCTGAGCAGCAAGTGTGCAGATGGACACGCTGTCCTCATCCAAGGCTTTACGCAAGAAAAGTGTGATGCCCATCTGGACCAGCGCATTTAGAATGGTGCTGCTGTCATGCGAGGTGGACGTGCGATCCGAATACTCCCCGTTCATCGCCCTGCAGAGGGGAGCGTATGTGTGTGTGTGTGTATGTGTGTGCGTGCATGTGAGTGAGTGAGTGAGTGTGTGAGTGTGTGTGTGTGTGTGTGTGTGTACTGCACACAGGCTGTTGGGGTGTAATGACACTGCTGCTGCTCATATGCGCATGAAAGCATTTGTCGATACCTTGCGATGATGCGATTCAGGGTCCTCAAGCCGACAACGCGCTGTGCAGGAACACTGCTACGCACCATCTCCAAGAGCTCTGCCAAACAGTGGTCGTGCACCGGACACGAGAGGGGAGGGGGGGTTCGTGATGGACGTGAACAGTGGAATGCGGCCAACAGCACACAAGCACAAACACACGCGGCAGTCACGACTGCCACCACCACCACCACCACTCCTACGCACCTGCAAGCGTGTATCCTGGTTTGCTTGGAGCGCGGCCGTGGTGGTACAGCCCTGTCTTCGTGGACACATCTGCACCCGAGGGAACAACAGCGCCGCTAAAGTCAAACCGCACCTGCAGTCCGTCGTGGCGTTGTTATTGGTGTTAGTGATGGTGTTGGTGTTGGTGTTGGTGATGATGTTGGTGTTGGTGTTGTGGTGGTGTTGGTGTTGTCGTGGTGTTGGTGTTGATGTTGATGTTGGTGATGACGTTCGTGTTGGTGTTGTGGTGGTGTTGGTGTTGTGGTGGTGTTGGTGTTATAGTTGGTGTTGTGGTGGTGTTGGTGTTATAGTTGGTGTTGGTGTTATAGTTGGTGTTGTGGTGGTGTTGGTGTTGTGGTGGTACGGTGTGCATGACCCATCACTGGGTGGTGGCCGAGAGCTTGCAAAGGCACCACTGCCACCGCCGTGCAAATGCATGTCGCTACACCTCACTCATACGCAAAACAACACACGCACAACACACGAGCACGAATGCGTGCACGCATTTGCACACATGCAACCCATGTATGCAGCTACAAGCAACGGACAGCTCAACACACCTGCTGCTGTGCATCGCCATCATCGTCGTCGGCGTCGCCAAGGTCGCCCATCATCCACTGCAGCTTTTCCGTCTCCACCACATTCATGTTGACCCACGTGGCCTCAGGTGTGAACGGCAGCCGCGCCAGCACGTCCTCCCCGATTTCCCCGCCTTCGCTTGACACAAGCTGCTGCTTTGCTCCTGTCGCTGTCGATGTCGCTGTTGCTGTCGTTGTTGCCGTTGCTGTTGTACCTGTTGCTGGCTGGGTGGGGCTGGCTGAAGAGCGGGTTCCTTGCGCCAGCAGCTGCTGCTCAGCTGCATTGCCGCTGTCGTGCCCATCACCGGGCGAAGAGGTGGAAGGCACAGGCTCATCCTCTTGCTTATCATCGGCCATCGTCCCTTCAGTACTGCGGGTAGAGTCGCCTGCACCGGCTGCTGTTACTGCTTCTGTTGTTGCTGCTGCTGCTGCTGTTGAGTGGGTGGTGCTGCTGGAGGGAAGCTTGCCTTGGCTTTGCAGCTTTCGTTTCACTCTGCTCTGCATCATCGCAAACACCTCTGGACCCAGCAAGGATTGCACCTCCGCCAGCGCTTCGGCGCGCTGCTCAGGTGTCATGTCTGGCAACAGCACACCAAGTGCACGCACGCGTGAGCGTCGTACACATTGTTCACGCATACGCACACGAGATTCGGCTTGGGAACACAAACGGTGAGTTCAGCTTGGACACCACACACACACACGGATGCACACACACGCACACACACACACACGCACGCATGCACACACGCATGCACACACACGCACACACACACACACGCATGCACACTCACACGCACGCATGCACGCACGCACGCACGCACGCATGCACGCACACACAAAAAAAAACAAGAACACGGCGCCATGCAGTGGCACCAACAAAAGTACACACTTTCAACGCGATGCAAAGTGTCCGTGGCAGCGCCAGCGAGCGGCTGTGGCATTGCAGCGCGAGCACTTGCCACTGCCGCTCTTGTCGGTAGCCGAGCAGCCTGTGATCCCCTGTGCTGTTGCTGCTGTTGCTGCTGTTGCTGCTGCTGCTGCTGTTGTTTTGGCTGTGGGGCCCCGAAGGTGGCGTCAAACTGCGCGGCGAACAGGCTCTTCCCTTTGCGAGGCCGGTCCTTGCCGGTCATGCGCCCGGAAAGCCGCTGCAGCGCTTCCTCTTGCTGCACGGAAGCAGCGTTGAGCCTGCCGTGCTCTGACAGGCCAAAGCTGCGCCCACCCTTGCGTTCCACAACCTGGCCACTTAGCGGCTGGGATGCTGGCGACTCAATCGGCGGCACATGCACACCACCACCACTGTCACCACCACTGTCACCATCGTGCCCCTTCCGCTCGTCATCACGAATCGCAGCGGAATTTGCTGCATCTGCACCTGTTGTATCACGAGGGGGCGCTGTTGGGCGCTGTGTCTCATGACCTGCATCGCGTGGTCGTGCGCGCGTCACTCGTGCCGCCGTTGGCTCCAGCTCTCCGCGCTGGTACGCAGCCAGCATCTCCTCGTAGTCATCCATGCCCCCAGGCACGTGTCGACCACCACCACCACCACCACCACCACGGCGCTCAGTCATCTCGTGAGACGATATGTGCTGTGCAATTTATGCTGTTGCTCTTGCGACGCCAACAACAACAACTGTCTGCTGTTCTGTATCCTGCTGTCGTTCGCTATGGCCACCATCGCCCGCGTCTCGCTCACCTCCACCTCGTCCATCCCGCTCAGCAAGCGGTGAGGCTGCCGCCGCTGGGTTGTGTGTGTGTGTGTGTGTGTGTGTGTGTGTGTGTGTGTGTGTGTGTGTGTGTGTGTCTGTGTCTGTGTCTGTGTCTGTGTCTGTGTGTGTGTGTGTGTGTGTGTGTGTGTGTGTCTGTGTCTGTGTCTGTGTATGTGTCTGTGTCTGTGTGTGTGTCTGTGTGTGTGTGTGTGTGTGCTTGTGTGTGTGTGTGTTCTCAGTGAGTGTGTGAGTGTGATATTTTTTTTTTCTTTTGTCTCAATCTGAGTGTCACTATTTGTTTCTCTGTGAGTGCAATAGCTCGTCCGTCTGCCAAGCGCGTGGCGTGGGATGTGAAAACTGGACTCCTTTCACCG